CTATACTAACATGTTTCAAAATCAAACAAGTAGAGAAGTCAGGAGAAATGCCCCCATGAGTAGTGGAAATTTGAGAACTACTTCACAACCCAGTTCTTCCAAAAGCAAACCTCTGTCAGAGAGTTCGTGGGATGAAAGAGCTGCAAAGACATCACGAGCTTCGAGGGACAAATGGGAAAAAAAGCCTGCCTTTCCAGCCCCTGCCACAACCACACTCAGCATAAGTAAGACTGGTTGGCAGACAGGAAATACCAGTGACCATATGCCGGCAGAAGCTGATGAAGGCGCCAGGAATGGTGTTGTAGTGCCAGTTATTAGGCATGAAGCTTCTGACATAGCAACAGGGTCTGTCTCGTCAGATCCATCAAGAACTAGTCAAGTACGGAATGATTTTAACGCATCATGGATGCCTAATCCCATGTTTGCACCTTTTCTTATTGGTTCCTCTCAGCAGAGGCAAGCTGATAACTCTGGACTGACTTTTGTCCCAACAGGTCCACCAGTTCCTTTTGTTGTGCTCCCATTTGTTCCTGGCAATAGTGATGGATCTGTTCCACAGTTCGAGGGAAATGACGGAATTGATCAGTTTCCTGTCAATGTTGCTGTTCAAAATTTTAGTTCACTCAATGATGTTCACCAACCTGATAACAGTGCTACCTCAACAGCATCATCCAGTACTGTAGCTAATCCATCTTATGATCACAAGCCTGACATTCTGAACAGTGATATTGCCAGTCATTGGCAGAATTTACAATATGGACGATTCTGCCAAGATGCACGCCCCATGGGTCCTGTATTATACCCTTTTGCAGTGCCTCCAGGGTACATGCAAGGGCATGTTCCATGGGATGGGCCTGGAAGACCACCTTCACCGAATGTCAACTGGACACAGATGGTGGGTCCTGGCCAAAGAGCCTTTCCTATGATGCCAATACAGCCTGCTTCAGAAAGAGTTACTGCTGTTCCTCCGCACTATGGAGAGCATGCACCCAGATACCGTGGTGGAACAGGAACCTACTTGCCAAATCCTGTAAGCTCCTAATAATTCGTTCATTAGTCTTACCTTATTGCAAACATAACATGCTTATTCTTGGTATCTCAAAAAATAATATAGAAGAACGAGCTTTTGTAAATTTACTGGCTTTAGCAGTATAGTTTGATCAGCATCATCTTTCTGAAATGTAATATCATTTGTCCCAGCTTGATCATACTCCCTCTGTTCCTAAATATAAGACCTTGTAGAGATTCCACTATAGACTACATACGGAGCAAAATGAGTGAATCTACACTCTAAAATATGACTACATACATCCGTATGTAGTTCATAGTGGAATCTCTAAAAGGTCTTATACTCCCTCCCACCGAGTTAGTGCTAGATACATCCATTTGAGGGACAAGCTTGGGACAAGTTTTTTCGGACAGAGGGAGTATTTAGGAACGGAGGGAGTAGGTTTTAAGTTGGTAGCCAGCTGCATTCCATATTACTCAAACGATCTAGTGGAAAGGGGCATGCTGTTATTGTCAAACAGAAACAGATGTATTTAGGTATTCTTTGAATTGGTACGGCCCAGATTTATACCGTCTATTGAGATCGGAAGCTCCACATTGGCATAGATGCTGAGAAACAGACGGTCTTGATCCATCCATTTATGACCCTACTGTGAGATTGTAACATTTATACTCCCTATGGAGGGAGTATATTTTATGGATGAATTTGTTTCATAGGTACAATTAAAAAACGGTAAATGTGTTTACCTGTAATATTCAAGAGAAGATATTCTTCAGCTTGTCATGAATGCAGTTTGTACCCCAGAAACAGGCAGAGAGTACCGTTACCAAGTGGCTGGTTCCAGGATGCTTAGTAGTAACCGGTAAAGCCTAGTCAAGAAGCATTAGTAGTAAAATAAGTAGTAACTGGAACCATCTTCTTGAAAGTTTCCTTAGCAATCCATCAACTCAAATGTTGCCACCGATCTGGTTCTGTTGTACTAAGCAATCTATCTTTGTACTTAATGTGGTTATAATACCCCGTAAATATTAGATCGCTACAATGGTGTGAATTTTAGTCATCACTCATCGCTAAGTGAAAGTAGTAATTTTCCTCCAAAAGTGGAAGTAGGAACAACTTCAGTATCCCCAAGTGTAGTGTGCACATGGTGTTGGCAATATGGTTGAGGGAGTCTCAGCTAACTGGAGTGACTGGTCATCTGTTGCTGCATGGGAAACTCAAGAGCTTATATCATGGATATAAGATATTCTGGGTGATGTGTAGCTCTATGCCCCTACTTGTGTGGTTGTGCCTCAAGGGCAATATAGTTTATCAGGCGATTCTTTATGAACGTGATAGTTGCTTTACGAACATGATAGTATTTTAACTGGGAATACTAAGCTGTCAATTCTGTTCGTTGCATTTTCTCAGAAGGTTCCATTTAGGGACCGAGAGCGTCCCTCGAGTTCAAGATACTTCAGAGGAGGTTATAATAGTGACAAGGGTGACAATAGTGATAAAGAAGGAAGTTGGGCAAACTCAAGACAACGAAATACAGGCCGCAACTATGGACGTAGCCAGTCAGAGAGGTATGGCATGAGGTCTGATAGGCAGACAACAGATGAAGGTCAGTTTGACAGGCAGCGGAGATCCTATAGAAATGACTCACACAGGCATGAGGCAGGTGCTCAATACCTTGGACAGGGTCAATCTCATGGATCCACAAACTCTACTCACAGACCAGGGAATATCGCACATGGGGTTTACTCATCACCATATGCAGTGCCAAATGGTGTTGGTGCTTCAGATTCACCATATTTTATGGTTTACCCATACGAACCAGCTGCAAATCATGGCTCTTCCTCTGAACCGCTTGAATTTGGTTCACTGGGGCCAATCTCTATGGCAGATGATGGTGATCTACCACAGCCCACTCGCCAAGTAATGGCCAATGGCTTTTATGGGCAAAGACATACTGCGTTTAGGGCTAGTTCCTCTCATTCATCTCCTGATCAACCATCCTCACCTCAACCTCGCAGGTAATACCCCTCGCTTGTCTCTTTTCTTGCATATCATTTATGTATTATTGTTTAAGTGTGAGCAGTTACTGTTGAAAACCAAATTATTGATGTATGATATACTTCATTTTTATTTGCGTAAAGAAACTGGTAGGTGTTTCTATGTGCATCATCAGAGTTAGTGTGATAACAATTGCTACTGTCCTAGCTAGAATTGACAAAAAAAATACCTAATGAGTGATATGTTTGGGACGCACTTGAGTTTTAGCTACTTTAACTTTCACTCTTCAGCGTTTTCTGCCGCCCTTGAGGATATGACCTGTCGAGCTGACATTTTTACAATGCTTTTTTCATTATGCTGGATATGATGGAGCTGTGAAAGCTTTAACTTTGGCACATCAGTAGTTATGTTCATCAAAACATGGAATAAAGAATGAAGTGGAAGTTATCTCAGGGAAAACACCGTCATATATCTTTGGATAGCTATTTTCTGTTGAGGAGCTATTCAGTTATTGTTGGCTAACCATATTTTTTACTACCGAAAGAGAGGATAATTGATATCAGTCTGTTTCATATAAGTAGTATTCTGATGATTATTTTACATGGTAGTTACTTGGTTCTATTCTTCAAAAAATGTGTCATTAAATGAATTACAGTTTGATCAAATTACATAATAATTTCATAAACTATTCAGTTGGCTTCTGTGGAATGCTTTCTTGATTGTTACCGTTGTCAGTATTTTGCAGCATTTGTTGTCACCACCTGATCCTTTTGTTTTCTCTTTTTTCTGAAGGTAGCTGGAAGGATACGATAGCTTGGCTCTGATACTGAACTGATGCACACCCTTCAGTTATATTTAGCTCTGGTGCCTGTGATTATGTCGTACACAACTGCATATTGTTGGACCATCTGGTGCCCAGAGTGCGAATGTGCCTTTAGCTGTAAGCAGCTGGTGGCCGGATACCTCACCAATATTTAGTTCGTCCAAAGAGACATCAGTCAGCAGCAGGTCATTTTACTGGCAAGCAGCTGATGATACTTTGAGATGCCTCGGGAATATTTAGTTCCATGGAAAGACGCATCAGTCATCTCAACATGCTTTACTGGGCTTTTTCAGACTAAAGCAGAATTATCTTCTGAATAAACCATGGAACCGGGAAGACGGGAATATATCCTCTTATTGACCCAAAGGATATGATCAAGGAAGGGTTAAGCGAGAATGCCAGCCCTTGTACTGCCATCTCGATATCAGAGACAAGACTGGGAAATCATCGGATTCTACTAGTACTGCCTGGACACCTATCCAGAGCCGGAAGCTAATAGTGAACTCATGTCACTTGGCAGAAGCAAGATCATGTAATCATGTTTTCACATATGGAAAACTTTTCACGTTAGATGTATTAGGGTTTAAGAATCTTGAAGTTGAGTTTCTAGCTTCGAGGAATATGATTATCTGTATTACTCTTCGGCTAATGAAAAGATCGATCGCTTCGTTTGATCAACTTCCTTTTCAGACGTGCTCTCTGTGATGGTTTTACTCACGTGCAGTTTGATTTTGGTACAGGGAGAATGTCGGTTGTATGCTCATCTCTTGTGTTGAGCAATCTGATGCTCTGTCAATCGAGTTTCATATCCGTCGGTATTCAAATGGATTTTTGAACTATCGAAGTGCGCCACCAGTTACTTTTCCTTATGGGTTTGTTGGTGGTAAGGCTTACACTAACAGTGAACTGACGGAGAAAATTCAAATTTCGCATGGAGTACTACTGACATAACAAGAGGCCAATATTCCCATTGACCTTTTTAAACCATCAGCTGTTCTGAACTAGATTGTGTATTTGCCAACTGTTCATCCCCCCCTCAGATCAAATCTCTCTTTCTCTAGTAATAACTATGCTACCACTACATCCTGCCGCTGTGGCAAGAAGCAGCTCTGCAGTGCCAGAACTCTGTTTCTGGCGAGCAATTGAGTCGGATGCTGCAGCGTGGTCCGTTCATTCCCCAACTCTTTTCCTGAGCTCTGTGATGAAGTCCTCCTTCTCCTGGTCCGTCATCCCCACCGTGGAGCAGTCGCCGACGCCCCACTCGGCGCCCCGCAGGCAGTACTTGTCCTGGATCTCCCTCTCGTTCCTGATATCAACAACAAATTTTGCCCCGAAAGAGATTGATCACATGAACATGGGACGGAGTCAGTTAGAGAGCTTGGTTCCAGCACAGGAGTGAGCAAACAGACGTGAGCACGAGCACATACTTCTGTTTGTTCTGCTTGGACTTCTCCAGCAGCTCCTTGAGCACCTTGGAGGACTTGAACCTCGAGTCATTCTCCGCGTACTTCCTCTGGTTCTCCGCTTCAGAATTCATTCAGTGCAAATTAACGGAAAATAAATAAATTGATATGTATTAGATGAGATAGTGTAGAGCTATTAGCTAGCTGAACCAACCATTCCATTTGTCCAGGAACTCGAGCCGGGGCATCGGGGGCGCTGGAACCGACTCCAGCCCGGTGGACCCTGACAGGATGCCGGCGCTCACTGCAAGTCCGCACACAAATTTCAACGGTGTTGGCCGTTGCCGTACGTGGAATGGAAACATACGTGATTGACTGTGTGAGGAATTTGCACTCTACCTGGGGTGGACCAGAGGGCGAGCGAGAGCGAGACGGCCGCAGGGACGCCCAGGAGGAACGCCCGGCCGCTCTTCTCCGGCGCGCTGCAGCGGGCTCTCGGCGGCGGTGCCGAGACGGTGGCCGGTGGCGCGCCGCAGAGGACGCAGAGGCCGAGCATGGCGCCTCGCTAGTGTTCAGTGGTTTCTTGCTCGTGCTGGTGGGCTGCCTCAACGTAGGCGAGAGGATGAATGGATGGATGAGCCGTTGAGCTACTCTGACTGACGTGGGAGGTTGCTGGTGGGCGGATTGGGGAAGGGTGGGCGCCACTCTCACTACCTGTTCTCTTGTCAGCCACGAACGATGGGGGTGATCCCGGAGATTGCCCTTTGGATCTTTTTCTTCAGTGTATGTATGCGAGTCTTGCAGCGGCGATCAAACGATACGTTCGGAGTTTGTTTGGTTCGCGTACAGTGGCGTAGCCAGCCCAATAAATCAGGGTGGTCCATCAATAGAAATATTTACATAAGTTTATTTATTTTCAAAGAAATATTTTTTTACTACATTATATACAAGCTATGGGGAAATTCCAGGGTGGTCCATGGACCATCCTGGCCACCCCCTAGCTACGCCACTGTTCGCGTAGAAAACTTGGTGGGATTGCAAGGAAGTTGGCAAATACTCCCTTCGTTCGTTTCATAATGTAAGCGAAATCTTTACTTTTTCGCCTGTTTGGCTATCTACGTGACTCCACGTTCTAGCTTGCTCGGTTGTTTTTTTCTTTTCTTTTTTTACTATGTGCAATGCACGTTAATCTGAAAGTATATTAAGTGCATGCAGATATTAAATAGGATATTATTTGCGTGTTATTATGTGATTAGTACTATATTTGGCATGAAAGTAACTGCACGCTAAACGTGTTGATCGCTCGATATTGAAGTAGTCTAGGTCGTTGGATTGACATGATTTGACGGCCGAGATTAATTGGATCTGCCTCTTTGGGTCTTTTTATATAGATATAGATATAGATATAGATGACTTAGCCTGCATGGTGTTAAAGTCACCTTAAAACCTGGCTAAACGCTCAAATTGACCAACACTAATGAAGAAATATTCCCTCACGGCATCACAACCAAACGCATGCAAATCTACCACCCTCCACGTACTTTTCTATGAGCTCTTACTCTTCTCCACTATTTGGTTACTGTCGTAGTTATGTCACTGACAATAAGTCAATAAGTATTGGGGTGTGTATGGAGGAGCGTTGTATCTATTGAAGGATGAAGATGGAGACACGGCCGAGTGTATCATGATCTCAACTAGGCAATTGTTTTTGTACTTCACTTATATTTGATTGAGCATGGTGATATGTTTTGTAGAAATCATTAGGACTCTATTGCTTCACTTAAATCTTTTGAGAGAGTTGAATAGGAAGTGGTAATTTGCATGAGTTATATGGTTGGTCAAAAAATAATGGTATACAACCGCGGTATGATAAAAACTTGCATGAAACTTGTAGATCATTGAATATGATAGGTTTGATTCCTTGCAATAGCTTTGGGATATTAAAGAAGGAAAAAGTCTATTTTACTACCCTGAACAAAGTTGGTGGTTCACATCACCCCTTGATCTATTTTTCTGCCCCTTTCACCCCCTGATCAAATCCATACCAGACAAAAAAAACCCCTTGGTGGTTTGTCTCGACCTGGAGCTGACGTGGCGGTGGACAAGGGTGGTTTTTACCGGCTGGTGTGGTAGAGATGCCCCCACCATGTGAAAAATCCCCCATTCTCTCTTTCTCTCCCGCAACGAAATCCCTAACCCTAGCTTCCATGGGCGGCGGCAGCGTTACCTCCACCACCGTGTCCGTCGATGGCGCGAGCACTGACCGCGGTGGTGGCGCAGCCCCGGTCGTGGCCGCCGTCCAACCTACACGTAGCTTGCTGGATAGGTCGTTCCCGCAGGAGGTTTGGCGGCGAGGATAGCCTTCTCGCCGACTGGAGACGAGCCATGTTCTCATCCCCCGCACTCCGTCCATGGATGCGCTCGAGCTCCGCTACCGCCGGTACGTGCTGCTAGCCACGGCGGTTGGTGATGGCGAGGAGAGCGTGACGCCGGCAGCTCTTCTGGCAGCCTTGGAGGAGCCTTGCGGCGTGGTGGCGTCGGAGGTGGTCATCGAGGTCGCATGCCCCCCTCACGACCTGTGGCTCACCTTCTCAACGGAGGAGAAGTGCACCGATGTGCTCTTTTCATCGATGAAGTTCAAGTGCTGCCGCCGCTGGATCCAGTTTACACGCTGGAGCAGATTCATTCGTGCTGAGCCGGGTGCTTTGGAGTACAGGTGCAAGCTCAGCTTCGAAGGCCTCCCCAACCAGTCCTGGACGACGGTATCGGTGAAAGCAGTTCTGAAAGACCTCGGTGGCGAACTCATCGAGATCCTGCCGTCGACAAACCGCCACGAGCTCGAGGTAATGGCTTGGCTTAGTGACCCGTTCTATGTTGGCAAGTTGGTGACAGTTGAGATATCTGAGCCAACTCTGTTTAACAAGCAACCTGAGTCGATGGATGAGTACGAAGCAACGCAGTTTGATTTGGGTGAGTACGGGCCGTTGTCGCCAAAGAAGAAGAGGACACTGTTGTATCCCGTTTTGTGCCATATGAAAGAGGTGATTGATCGTGGTCCTCTGCTAGCTGAGGACTTGCCTGCTGAGTGGCTACCAGCTGAAGGTGAAGACCTCAGTCGCAAGCACATATTCAAGACCGAGCTGGGAAAGATAGATGGGATTGGAGAGTCAGAAGCAGTTTGATCTTGTGTTAACTTCTATTAATTATGTACTAGTGGAGTTAGTGTGTGGCAAATGTGTTAAGCCAGTGGACTTGGTGTGTGCCAAATGTGTGACAGATGATGTGTAATGAACCTGTCAACATTTAATTATGTACTAGCAGTTTGATGTTGTTTCTTCTTATAGCACTTTAATTATTGCAATCATTTGAAATTTATTTCCACTTCAAAGAACACAAAAGCAATTGAATTTAGCTGTTATGAATGCAAACAGACTTGTGAACAGTACTTCATAATCTTTAGCCAGCAAGCACAAAACACACAAACATAAGTACTTCATGTTCTCCAGCCAACACACTACTTCATAATCCAGCAAAGAACCAGCAAACCAAGCAGCTACAGCCACCAGGTTTGTAAAGTAAACAGTTCCAGGTATCTAACTCCTAAGTTCATCAAACATGCTCACGGTCCTCCTCTGCCTAGAAGTTGCTCCTGGTCTTTTGCACACTTTAGCTTTAGGTGTAGTTTTGTTGACTTGTTTAGGGGCCCTTCCACTTGTAGGTTTGGTTTGGGTGCCCTGCTGTGAAGATTGGTGTTGTGTGCCTTGATGTGAAGATTGTTGCTGGGTGCCCTGTTGTGAAGATTGTGCCCTGTCCCCTGTAGATGTTCCCTTAGTGACTCTCTGTGATGTTCTTGGTTCATTTTGCTACAACAAAATAAAGAGAAAATAATTGTTAGTTACATCAGAATAAAAGAAAAACAAGAAAAGAATTACCTATATGACAGTATGACAATACACACCTTTGTCTCTTTCTTTCTCTTCTTATTCTTGTATTTCCCCCTGTTGGGATTACTTGTGCACTTTCTCATGTTGTGCCCAGGTTGTCCACACAGACTGCACTTACCTTTTGTTCCAATTTTTGAAAGCTTCTGTGGATGTTTTGGAGGCTCATCTGCACCTCTTCTTCTCTCAGTCCTAGGTCTCCCATGCATTTGCACATAGCTTGGAACAGCTGGCCTTGGTCTGTCACACACAGGCCAGCTAGACACGCCTTCCATTAGCATCAAGCAATGCTCATAAGTCCTGTTGTAAGCTTCAATTGTGTAGCAGCTTGCAATGAGTGAAACAATGTCATCAGGACCACATTGAGATGCTGCAAGAGCATGAACACATGGAATTCCAGACAGTTGCCAATATCTACATGAACATGTTTTAGCTACATGTCAACTTTGAAACCATGCTGCCCTAATTTCACCTCATATCCATCTTTTCCATTCCATATTGTCTCACACTTCTCAGTAAGATGTATCAGCTTGTTGACCTTTTTCATAATTTTAGGACAAATAGTTCCATTGCATTTTGCAGGCATTGCTCTGTTTACTTGAATTCTTACAGTGACCTTTGCTCTAATTGCTTCAAACATGCTGATAATAGGCAACCCTCTGTACTCTACTATCCAGTTGTTAAAACTCTCACACATGTTATTATCCATAGAATCACAACATGAACCTTCTTTGAACCAAGCTCTACACCAAGTTTCTGGGCCTGATTGCATCATGTCTCTTGCTCCATCTGGTGTGAGTTGAGCAAGTTTGGCCCTGTTCAAGTTGAAGTGTATCCTGTTTGAAGATTTTGCACAAGCCCCAAATCTTTTCTGATATGCTTGATCTCTATGCTTTTTCTTCCAATTAGCATAGATATGCCTATCACAATTCCTATGCTCAGCATTTGGAACAACCTTGGACACAGCATTGATGAGGCCTTTTTGTTGATCTGATATAAAGACCCACCCTTCTCCTTGATTTTCAATTTCCAAGTCTTTGTTTAGCAGAGCCATAAACCAGAACCAAGAGTCTTTGTTCTCAACCTCTACAGTAGCCCAGGCTATTGGATACATTTACCCATTGGCATCTCTCCCAAGAGCACACAACAGTTCTCCACTCTGGGCTCCTTTAAAGAAGCAACCATCCAATCCTATAACTTTCCTGCAACCTTCTATGAAACCTCTTTTGCAGGCATGGAAACACACATATAATCTCTGAAAACAGGGGCACTTTCCTTTGGATTTAGCACTACTACAACAGTGCTACCTGGATTGCTCCTCAATATTTCTAGTTGATAATCAAAAACCCTAGCATATTCTTCATGCATTGCTTCTCTAACTCTTCTTCTCACAATTACCTTTGCTTTCTTTATCTTGGAGACATGCACATCCGCAAACATCTCCAACCTGACAGTTGCCTTGATAGATTTGATTTTCCATCCAGGATTGGCCTTCATAATTCTCTCATACTTATCTGCTATTCTAGCTGCAGTAACCAATCTGTTGTCTCTCCTCTGGGGGCATATGTGGTTGTCTACAAATGTGATCGCTTGAAACCAGTCATTAGAGCTCTTA